CGGGCGACGGTTTTTGAGGCCGCAAAACTGGTACTGGATGATGGAGAGTTCATTGCCGAATTGTATGATTTCCCTGAACTATCAAGGAATTGTGGAATTCGGCGAGAAAGGAAAAAAAAAACACAATCTCCTTGCCCGTTTGCTGTTCTTTTGCCATTATGTGACAGTCTGATGCGTCTGGGAAGTCGGTGTGCCAGTCGTTGAATTGGATTGCGGTGTCATCGTCGCAGAGGAAGGATAGTAAGTTTGGTAAGATAGGGGCGGGAATCGACGGGGACTCGGACAGTTAGAAGAGTAGACATGAGGAGAAACGGAGTTGGGAGGTACAATTTTGTGGTTTGTAACAGGGGAGCCAATGTTAGGAAAGACAGATGAGGGAGGGTGTTTTGATGTGTGGAATTCAAGTTGTGTAGAGAGCAGAAACTCTGAAGTGCTGAGTGCCGATATCGTATCCTGTTAGGGAGTAATATCCTCTCCTCGGCACTGTTCGGGTCCGACAGCGTATAAATACTTTAGATGGGATTTTATACGAATGGATCTCGGATTGATTCTGCTCCGTCTGAGGGAACTAGATCGAACTGAAGCTATTTACAATTCAATCGTGAATATGTTTCCTGCCCTGCCCTACACCTCGAACCATTGGGTCGCCTGACAACTTCCTCCGATTTGATTTCCCCCCCAATCCCCGAATACCCTGTCCATTCCGTCAAGTACCATCATCAATCGACTTATTGCTTCTCAGGAACCACGTCGAGTCGTGAACCATAACGAATCAGATTATTGTCGGGATCAAGATGGGCTCCCTCGCATAGTCCATAGTCGGTATCAACCGGAGCGACGTTGCGACCGGTTTCAACGGCAGACCAAGCCTGATGCAGGGCTTTGGCATCGTCGACGTAGATGTACGCACACCCCGCAGTGGTGAGGGGATCGTGATTGGCGTTGACTAAAACGTGAATACTGACATTCTCTCGGGTCGCGAAGCCGTAGATGTCGCCATGATGTCTAATAGCAAATCCGAGGGCTTTGTAGTGATTGAGCCAACGATCCAAGTCTGTGGTGGAAAAGACTGGAGCGACGGAAAGGAATTTGGGAGTTGATGATGACATTTTGGGATATTTTTGCCTTTTTTCAAAGATGTCTGGGGAGAAATAAAAAGATGTGAGGTGATGGAGGAAAGAACGATTTTGGCCAGTCCAGTAATTTTATCTTTATGGTGACTCAATTTCTGCAGGTTCCCTTTCCCCAAACTCCTACACCAAACCTAGCCTGCACAATCCAACCAACACAAGGTTCCCGAACATCACTATATCGTCCGAATCCTATTCTTTTCCTCCACTCATGCACTTTTTCTTAATGTTTCCCGACTATCGAGACATTGCCCTGCTGGTTGCCATGGAAAGAGAAAATGACCCCGTCGTTCGAGGGAGATAAACGGCCGGAAATGTCGGATCCTGCTTGGGAAGCATCGTGCTTGGGGTGCATTTATTGGATACAGACTCCATGATGATGAAAATAATTTCAAATTCGGTGAGTTGGTTCCCGAATGGGTTCGATTGACTCAAAAGTAAAAAGATGATCCATCGGCTGCTTTCCTCGATGGGGGACTCGGACCTGGAAATTCAATGGAAAAGGTTGGAGAATGGCGAGATATCCCCCCCGTCCATTCCGATTCTCCTTTATTTCCTTTGATACTCACAAAGGTCTCCTTGAAGCCTTTGCTTCAGTTTCGCCACTAAGGGATGAGTTTTGAAATGTCAACAATATCAACCTCGAACAAAGCATTTGGTTGCTTGGCAACTTGGCAACATCACAAGACCACTGTACCGGACATTCGGGGACTTGAAAGTCAAAAACACCGGCCGATCAGAAGATATTGTGCCTTTTCGTTTCTTTGTGATTGAATTTTGATTCGATTACCTTTCATGGAGAATCATAAATCGATTGCTTCCTGCCCTAATCGCTCCTATCTCATAATCTTCTCCCAGATCCCCCTGACGTCCGCTTCTACCTATTCCACGGCAAAATGACTCACCTAAATGGACTCACGACTGTTGCCACTTATGAGGCTAATGTGGCTAAGAGACAGTATAGGCACATGCCTCACGATTACAACCCAGAGTATCTGAGGCGTTACCTCAAGTACTGGAACAGGGACGAATCCAACCTCAGCGTCATTGACCACGAGGGTGTCGCCTGGGCAACAGAAGAACAGCGAAAGAAACGTCAAAAACACTATTCCATCATTGCCATTTACTACTACGACTTCTTCACTCCCTTCTACGAGCAGGAATGGGGTCAGAGATTCCACTATACCCCTCAAACACCCGGATTGTCCCTCTATGACAGCTTCACCAAGTACGAGCAAACCTTTGCTCATATCTCTCGATTCAAAGAGGGCATCAAGGTTCTTGACTTAGGATGCGGCCTTGCTGGTCCTGCTCGTACCATCTGTCAAGAGACGGACGGGATGTGACATTATTGGAGTTACCAACAATGATTGGCTCGTTGTGAGAGGAACAGAACTGAATAAGCAATACGGGCTGGATCACAAGATCAAGTTGCAAGTTGCCAAGTTCTTGGTATGTTTTGTCTTATACACTGTCAATACCAAATACTGATGATTGAAATAGAACCTTCCGTTCCCAGATAATTACTTTGATGCTGCCTACTCGATTGAGGCTCTCTGCTACGTACCCAATCAGGTTGACGCCTACAAGGAGAGTGTTTCGCGTCCTTAAGCCCGGTGCGCCGTTTACCAATCATGATTGGTGCATGACGGAAAAGTTTGACGACAAGAACAATGAATACCGAAGAGTTAGGAATTTGATTGAGTTTGGTAACGGATTGAGCAAGATGCCAACCGTGAAAGAAATCCGACAGGGCATCATTGATGGAGGTAAGCATTTCTGTGGATCCTTTTTTATGATATCAACGTACTGACTATCAACAAAGCCTCGAAATCATTCAAAAAGAAGACATGACCTTTCGCAGCGCCCCTGTGCCGTGGTACTACGGTCCGGGAGGACACATTCTGTCTGCTTGGAAGGTTCCCGGATGGAAGGACTTTATCAAGGTGGCACAAATGTCTGAACCCTTTTTGTTTGTTGCTAGAATCGTGCAGAGGATCATGATTTTCTTTGTATTTATGCCCCCGCGAAGTTATCACGTTGATGGATTTCATGTGGTATTGTTGTAGGTCGGTGACGTGGGGTGGTCAGATGGGTATTTTTGCTCCGTTGTATGTGTTTTCTTGCCGAAAGCCTTTTGAAAAGGGGGAGAGAAGAAGAGTAAGATTTGAGTTATAGAGTTGGGTAGATATTCAAAGTATTCAAGTTTCAGTGAGTCTTTAGACAATGCGATGAGAACGCTGAAGTTGTACTGTCCTCAGCCAGGTTTCAAGCTCTTCCGTGTCAAATGAAATACGCCCACCAACTTCTCTTTCGTGCCGGCCCCGATACTCCGCACCAAATCCTCCAGTATGACCAGAGACTAAACCGAGTCCGAGACGACATATCCGCGCCAGGCTCGAATTGCTGTAGTTACTATACAACCGAACCGGACACGAACCAACTGCGTCGGACGCGAATTGCTTTCGCGCCAGGTTTTGGTTTCTATGCTATAGGGATCTGACAACCGATAGGGATATCATGAAAACGCACAGAACTTTCAATACCTAATCGAGCGAAATAAGAAACTGCTAAACCTGGGTATAGATGCTGTGCCTCCCTGCTCCATAAAATCAAATGTACAGAACTGAATTGACCCGTCCAAGCAAGGAATTTAGGAAAGTTTCATGGACTATAGTATATTCGGGATCAAGCTCCGTAAGGTAATAAATCCCCATAGGCAACAACATACTCTTGTCTCTATATTATTAGGCCAGAAAGAGTCTCTCTCTCTGCCGGCAAGAAAACTACTTTTGGAGCTCCCCAAACCTATTCAGAGTCCATCTCATTTGCTCTCCGAAGGGATATACTGGATATTAATGCGGTAGACTCTAAGTAAGTAAACGTCACAATGTCTGTATATATGTGTGGTATTTGACTTCCATACATGTACGAACCCTCACAAGCTCATATATATATATTCCAAAAGTTTACCCTTAAAGGAACCGAAACATACATTTCTTCAAGCATGTACAAGATCAGACAATCCCCCCCCCCCGGACTATTTATTTTTGATTCTAACTCTACCAATTCAACCAGATTACAGCCCCCGTAGCTCAGCGGTCTTTGAAAGTCAATACGGGCTCTGGGGTTCTGACCCTGGAATACAGTAGGTTGTGAAATACTGGTTGGATAGATTGGTTCTTGAATATTGGTTTTTGAATATTAATTCTTGAATACGATATGGCCTTGATTGAAACCAAGTGATGGCTTTCAACCTGGCACTGGCACCTCCGTATTATTCTTTCTTTCTGACAGCCAAAACCATGCCATCATCACGCCCATTTCCACAAACCGTATCACAAGCAATACCACATAGCACGCTAAATCTCTCAGCCAATGGACACACGAAAACTTCAATATAAAGAGAGAGAAGCTCCTCCTGCCAGATTCTCCATTCTAAAGAAATTTTAAATCACGTTATATTGGAGCTTTCCCTTCAATAATTTCCACATACATCTCAATACCGTAAATTTATTCAAACAAATAGCCAGATACAAACCGTAAAATCCTGACTTTTCCAAAATCTCTCTTCCAGTAACGGCAACCAGCCAACCTAATAATTAGCCACACCCTCATGCAAGAAGAGAATACCCCATCTCCAACTTCATGAGGAGTTCGAAACCAATATCATGTCTCCAAGATTTCGGGAGTTGAAAAACGGGACATGCCTTGTTGAAACGATGTCCGAAAAAAAAAACACCCAGTAGAGAGAGAGAGAGACTGTGCCTAAAAAAATAAATAAAGTAATAATGTTCATTCTCTGGCTGTGAAACAGGTATATTTAAGAGCAATACCCGTTACTCTTCTTCAAGAAACAACAACCAAAAAGGGGCCGTGGTCTAGTGGTATGATTCTCGCTTAGGGCAATTAAAACCCGAGTTTAAAGGCTTCAATTCCTTCTAAACGCTTGCGTGAGGTCCAGGGTTCGATTCCCTGTGGCCCCCCAATGTTTTTTTTCCTTCTCTTTTTTGTTTGCGTTGTGTGGATGGATGGTGGATATTTCTGGGTTCTTCACTCCCGTCCGTGGTTCAGATGTGGTCCAGTGGGGATAGTTTATTGGGGAGTTGTGACGTGAAACTATTCGAGATTTCCTTGTCAAGGGTCCGGTCCATCTGTGTTGCAATAAAGTTTAAAATGAAACCAAGAGATAATTGACGTTGTGTGGCATTATAGAACTTGGGTTCCTCGAGTTTCAGCTCGAGTGTTCTTCTAGCTGCCGCAGTTTGCACCTTTTTACACACCGCTATTTTGGAAGTCGGGATTTGGAGTTGATTGGATGATCTGTATTGTGTGTGGTATTACTACATATATGCGGGTGTTTTGACTCAATTGCTTGGTCAGAGTCGGGAGTCAAACTAACGTTGGTGCCACAGCAGGCGGCGACGGGGAAATCGGGGATGTGGCAGGGACACACACACGATCAACCGCTACTATTCACAGCCATCATCCGAGATCATTCTCCGTCTCTATATATACTGAACCGTTAAAAAGTTCAAGTTGAGACCCTAACCCAGACCACACCCAAGATTATTTATTCCTTGGCATTCAGGGGCTGAGTGGGAACGATCGTCAACCGAGCAACGCGACAAAAAGACGACATCATAACAAATAGCTTCTTCTGTTTTGTCTACCAGCCAGCCGGTCTTCTCTGTCTTGGAGTACTTTTTGTCTAGATCTAAAAAAAGAGACATATAGATCCGCCGAAAAGAGATCTACCTTTTGGAGATGTGCCTTTTCCCCTTCACTATTCCTTTTTTCCCAGCCTGTTTTATGAAGGCAAAGAAAACCAAAAAAAATAAAAAATTGGGGGAATCTTAAAATCCACATGACATCAATGTGTACAAAGATGGTACAAAAGGTAAAAAAAATAGATCCTCCAAACAACTCAGAAAAGTTATAAAACATGGCATCAACATAAGAAATCATCACACATAATAGGAAAATTTTGAGAAAAAAAACCATCCCAGAGAAGAAAAAAATCATGAAATGCCAGATAATCCATTCCGGCCTAAACTTTTTGACAAAGACAAAGAAACCAAACAAAAAAAGAACGCTCGTATAGTTGTCATCATCAACGTTACGATTGCGAGGCCAGGGATGACGACTGGAGTCTCCGACGAAACAACCACCCAAAGTTTGTCAGAGTCCAACTCCATCTGTCATGCCGTCCTTCGACGTAAATGTCCTCCTCTCTCTTTAAATGTCGCTTTTCCGAGCGCCATTTATTCCCCTCAAAATTGGAGTTGTGAAACTAAAGCTGTAGAATTTCCATGTCCTGAAGACTTCGCTGACGCTTGTGCGGGGAATCGGTGTGATCATTAATCGTGGCCTTCCTCTTCTGTAACAGATTACGGTTGAGCGAGGATCCTGGAGAAGCATCGGGGAATCCAGTGGAGCCTACCAAGCTGTTTGACTTTTGCCTTCGAACCGGCGTGATTGGGGTTGTGACAGTTTCCATGCTTTCGGGCTTGATACCTTTGAGATGGCCGTAGTGATAGGGATTGGGAAATTGGAGTGACTCCTGAGTGGTAATCTCGCTGTTGATGAGCTGTTGGTTAATCTGATTCCTACGGAATGCGCCGACGGCATTGGAATTGCTCTCAAAGTGACTGAGAAGAGGATGTACTCCGGCAGAAGAAAAGTCAGCGTTGCTGGCAGAGGTTTTGGGTCGAGAAGGGCTCGATTCGGCATCATTCCATTCCTGTCCAGACTCGTCATCATCGCTGGGGTGGTCCTTGAACTCAATAAAGTCCTCAAGTTTCAGTGTGTCCTCGTCGTCTTCATCGTCCAGGTATGGGTAGTAGTCTGACATGTCGCTGTCGTCACCGGTTACTTCGTCTGATGTGCAAGGGAAAAAGGCTTCGGCCGGGCCAAAAGGTTGCATGGTCATCAAGTCTCCAAGAGTGTTAGATGAGAGCATAGCACCCATCATTATGTAGGCAGAATTGCTCATAATTGGGGAGCAAGCATCGACGCCCGTGAAGGTCTCCGACGACACATCGATCCTGTTTTGTCCCGAGGGGGTGTAAATGATCAACTTGCCAGTGGCGGGGTCAAAAACACCGATGGGCTTGTTGTCCCTGGTTGCCCGTTGGCGGATCGGCGCGTCAGAATCCGAAGTGTCTTCATCAGAGGAGGATGACCTGGCACGGCTCTGGCGGCTGGGCATAGGCTCTGGAATATCTTCGTCTGTGGAGACGCTCTCCTCATCGGCTGGCAAGGATCCATTAGTATTAAACAAATCACGCGCCAACCAAACAACTCACTCTCGTAGCCGTCGAGCTCATCATCCGAGTCCTCATTAAAGCCGCATTTCAGTGGCTCATTGGCTCCTGGCGTGTCCATTGGAGTAGCATCATTCTCAGAGTGAAAGTTGGGTACGTCTTGGTGGTAATCCCAGTAGGAGCCCGAGCTGTCGGACATGTTGTCGTCGTTGTCAATCTCACGACGGAATGCAGGATCAAGGTGGTCCTCATCCACAAATATATCAGGAAAGAATTTGCCGTCGTCGTCTGTATCAGTAGAGGTAGAATCACTGTCGCTGTCGGGAATGCCAGCAAAACGGACATGGCGCTCAACGACAGGTGTGACCTCCTCGTCGCTCTGGCCAAAGATGTAGGGATCAGGACCCGGCCACTCAATGCCGCTGTCATCGTCGTCCTCATCATCGTCGTCCAAATCAATACCGTCTTCGTCGTCGTCTTCTCCATCATCTTCTTCGTCAGCGTCGTTTTCCTCCTCAAGCGGCCGAGCAGGCGCCGATGCGATTTTGAGCTTATCGGCTTTAATAAACTCCTCCTCGGCCGCAACTACATGCTCATCGTCGTCATCGGACTCGCTTACGTCCTCGACGCCAGAGTACCCTTCGTCGTCTGAAAGGTTGAGAGAAGATGGTGACGAGGTGTCTGAATCTCGACGTCTCTTGATGTTGGTGAGCTTGATCCGTGGCCGTGGCCGTGACCCTTGGGGATACTTTTGCCGAATGTTTCGGGACATGGTTTTTGTTATATGCAGGGGTGGGTATGGGGTTAAGTGTAAGGTGGATAGGAACAAACGGCGGTGAACCCTGCAAAATGATGTCGGCAGGCAAGGGTAAAATAGACGTTATGTAGGTATAAGTGTATTGCCCGTCTACGGAGAGAAGACGGGTTTGGGATGATGGTGGTAAAAAAGAGATGGAGAACTCAAAAGAGGTGAGAGTATAGATAGGTGAATCGTGTTGGCGTTTGGACGCAGACCGAATGTGGAAACTTGATACTTCAGAGGTAGACTCTCCTTCTCAAATGTTGCTCGCTCAATGCAAAGAATGCGATTGCAATTGAGCGCCGTGCCGGGTCCCTGAAGGCGGGGCTCGGAGACGGTATGAGTCTGGGAATAGAACTTTGTCGAGGTAGTTGTAGGCAAGGGTTGAATATCTCGTTGAGGCTGCTGGACTACGGACGCAGCCCTTCGAAGCTGACGTCCGCAGTGGACGCTTAGAGCTCAACGACGGCCGACATCTTGATAAATTGGGTGCTCGACAATGTTCTGGTCAGATTGGTACTGGATCTCTGATTGTAGTGCGACTTCGTTGTCTAGCGATATGGATTGGGTGGTTGATTTGAGGGAGGGAAGAAAAAGAGGGAAACAGCAGAGGAGGGGAGCGGGCAATCTCATTAAGTTTTTTTTGGTCCCCCAGTGGTGGATCGGGAGAGGAGAATGTGGGGCCGCAATTGCAGAGCGTTGGATTGGTTCGATTGGTTCGGCTCAACATTTTGGAGCCATAAAACGTGGGGCATCTTGAAATTGTGGATACCTGCAACTCACCCCCCTGGGAAACTTGGAAGGCTCGCTTGCCTGTGTCTCTCTTCTCTCAAGTCAAGCCGTTTTGGCAGCTGGCAAATTGGAGACAATTCTCCCTCTCTCCTCTCTCGGTGCAGCCTGCACGTCTTGCTCCCGTATGCAAATTTCCTGGTTGGGAGCTCCCGGAGACGAGAATGGCGGTCACCGCTCTTTGCAAAAACACACAAGTCTCACATTGAGCAAGAAGCCACTCTTGAAAAGTCATATGAGTGGCGTTAGGGTGTCTTGAGACTGACCATCCGTGGGGGGCAGGAAAATATAGCGTACACCAATCAAAAGACATGTGGAGGCAGTTATGATACCTACAAAAGCCTTCGACATTCATCAAAAAGATCACGCTTTGGCCCACATAGTGACGTCCGATACAGTCCGGTTCTCCTCCGTCGATTGCCTCTCCTGACGTTCGCTACCAGAGATTTTTCACGGTAAATCAACAGATCTGCTATAATTTCCCCGCATTTATGACCCTTTTGGTTTGCTGAACGTACTGCAAGTATATGCAACTCATATAGCTGAGGTATGATGGATGTTACGTGTCCGTGAATTCTCTCCCTAGATGCCTGGGTTTCCATATTCCCCACCACGCTTAATTTCTATTGCTACCAAATGTCGTTAACCGCCGTGCCCGCCCGTCGTTTGACTGGGCAAAACACCGTGGCATTCACCGCTAAACAGAGCATCTAGTGTAAAGTTTTGCGTGCCGTTGACGTGTTGATTTTCAAAACTTGAGCCATCAGATGGAGTCTAAGATGGGGGTACAGTGGGATGAGTCTCCAGTATTGCTTCTAAACTAGTTGCCAGCTGGCAACGTCACCAAGGCTTGACAGGGCGGGGTAATGACTCGATAAATTTGGGGATGTTGTCCAAACCAGGGAGAAGAGAAAAGACTGTTGAAATCGCAGTAAAATGCTTTGAGATGAGGCGACTCGGACATGGATTTTTAACATAGTACAGTTGTGACGACAGCCGGAAGGGGAACCAATAACAATGATATGTTGGTTCATGTGCCACAACTTGTCTTGCCGGATGACTCCCACCGGTGGCAACCAGAAAAAAAAACTTCCGAGAATTTCTTTGTTTGCTTTCCCTGTACAACGAGTCT